GTTTGTTCTGGTGTTTGTTTTTTTTTTTTTTTTTTTTTTTTTTTTTTTTTTTTTTTCCAAACCAGCTTCTCAGTGCTACTGAGTGCTAGAATTGAGTCTGCCTGTCAGGGCCTTTGCCACGGGGGCCTATTTCTCTTCAGAGCTGTCCAGACTTGCAGCCGGCACTGTCAGCCTCCTATAAATCCGGAGCGTCAGCTCCAACGTGGGAAAAGGAGTGTGAGAGCGCGCCCACCTGTCTTCAGCCTCTTTGTCTTTCCTTCGTCTGAACAGAAAAAAAGCTTGACTGTGACATCATATTTCAACCAATGGTACACTGGAACTGAACTCTTTTTCTTTCTTTTTTTTTTTTAGACTGGGTCTTGCTATAGAGTTCAGGCTGACCTTGAACTCATTATGTAGTCTAGGCTGGCCTCAAATTCATGGCAATTCTCCTGCCTCAGCCTCCTGAGTGCTGGGATCACAGGTGTGCACCACCACATCTAGCTCTGGAACTATTTTTTTGCAGTACTGGGGATCAAACCCAGGGGTTTTGCATTGACCTACATCCCCAACACTTCCTCTCTCTCCTCCCTTTTCCTCTTTTACTTTTTAAAACTGTGAGACATTGGGCCGGGGATTTAGCTCAGTGGTTTGGTGGCCTGCCTCGCAAGTGCAAGGACCGGAGTTTGATCCCTGGTACAAATTTTTTTTTCTGGTACCAGGGATCGAACTCCGGTCCTTGCGCTTGCGAGGCAGGTGTCAGAACCACTGAGCTAAGTCCCTGGATCCCCCCAAATTTTTTTTGAGACATGGTCTTGTTAAGTCACTAAATTGCCCAGGCTGAGCTTGATCTTGGAATCCTCCTGCCTCAGCCTTCCCAGGGTGCTGGGATTACAGGTCTGCTCCATTGTACTTGCATTGGAACATTGTGAAGCTAAGTTTGCAAGGCCAAAAATTAGTTGGCTTATTTTCTTTGATCTCTGTGAAAAGTTCTTCTCAGTACAAAATGTCCCAGTAAGAAATATTTCCACTTTGGAAAGATGTCTTGACATGACGTGGATTAAAACAACTTAATTTGACTGAGGATGATATCCTTTGGGTTGGAAAAGCGTCTTTCCCCTCCCTAACCAGCTGTGTACCACCCTGTGTGGCTGTTTCTGGGGGGAGCCCTAATAATCTCCTGAGCTCCCTCATTTTTCCATGCCAGACTGCTGAGCTGGGGCCTGAGCTTGTGTGGGCTCTGACCCAACAGCAGATGTTTGCCTGGGGCCGTTGGCCTCTTTTCCACGCTTCAATTTAGAACTCCAGCTTCGCAGGGAGTAATTGTTTCCTATCAGTCCTGCCCCAGTTCTAAGCACCGTGGCCGTGCAACTCCCAAGTTGGAGACCTACATATTCTCTCACCCCTGTTCCTGAGGAGAATCCTCGGCCTGGCAGAGGATGAAAGAGATGTTTAAGGTGAACAGTTTCTAGCTCAGGTGCTCTGTGTCCTGGACTGGGCCCTACTTTGAACGCTCCAAGGCATGCAGCTTTTCTGCTGCCATCTCCTTTCCTGGAGGACTCTGGGATTTGAAACTGAAGGTAGATGGTAGCAGGACAAGTAACTTCGGACGGAGTTGGCCGCCAAGTCTTACAGGGCGGGACCTCAGACAGCTGAGGGAAAGGAAACTGGTAGTCCTTGTGACTGAACCTGTCAGTCCCCCAGCCCTCTCCTCCCTCTCCCAAGGGTGCCCCGCCCACACTCCCCCGTGTCTGTGGGCCTCTGACCCTCAGGTCTCTTTTGTGTCCTTTGGTTTGTCTGTGTTTTCACTGACCTGCTGTGCAAAATATATTGCTCAGGCGGGGGAATTTTTTTGAAGAACATACAACAGACCTCTTTCCTTAGCTTTCTTCTTCTCCTCCTCCTCCTCCTCCTCATGGGGGATTGAACTTGGGACCTTGCGAGGCAACCACTGAGCAAAATCCCCGGCCCTCAGCTATCTTCTAACCTCTGGGTTAGGTGGTCCAAATTGACTTCCTTCCGGGCTCCCTCCGTCCGCCTTTCAATCTCTCCTACTTCCTCTTAGCAGAATCATTGCCTTCTGTGATTCAGACTTGATACTTTCAAGCCATGTTTGGCTCCTCTTTCCATGCCTTTTTCCAACTGGATTGTTGGTCAACGTGCCCTGTTTCCATAGTCACCGTCTGGCCTTAGCCTGAAGCCAGTCCTTGCTTGCCTCTTATCTGCCTCAAATCCACCCTTCCCACAGTAATCTGAATCTCCCTCAAATACCGTTTTCATCCTATCAGTTGGGGCTCTTTGGCGGGGAGGAAAGAGGGCTGATTCCAAACCTTTTAGTCTAGAGAGCTGAAAGACTGTCCCTTAGTGGGAGAGCAGATTTTCTCCAAGGAGCTCACTGCAGGGAGCCAGCTGGGAGACAGAACAGAGTGGACCATTAGCGCGCACACTCTTTTCAAGTAGCAAGTTTCCCTGCATACAGCCATTTCCCGTGGAAGACAGTGGCAGGTGCAAAGGACAATTAGAAAACCCTAGGGATAGCCTGCATTTGAGATGATGCCCTCTGAAAAAACTGACCAAAGTATCTTGAAAAACATGGGAAAATTTGAAGAAAAGTTTCCCTGGATGTGAAACTTAAAATTGTGAAGATGTCATTCTGAGCTTTTGTATCATTATAGTAAACTGTGCTGTAATTCAAAAGACTCTGTTTAGAATTGGATATAATTATTTTATTTGGTGTGTGTGTGTGTGTGTGTGTGTTTGTGCTTCTTTCGTTGTTTTTTGTTTGTTTGTTTGTTTTTTTGTACTGGGGATTGAACTTGGGCCCTTGTGTTTGCAAGGCAGGCGGCGGAACCACTGAGCTAAATCCCCAGCCCTGATGCAATTATTTTAAAATTCATCTGGAGGGGGCTGGGGATTTAGCTCAGTGGTTCTGCTGCCTGCCTCGCAAGCGAAAGGACCCAAGTTTGATCCCCGGTACCAAAAAAAAAAAAAAAAAAATTCATCTGGAGGAATAAACAGAAAGTCAGCTTAATTGGGAAGAGTATTACTCTTGGCAAACAGTAAGACATTATGTAGTTTATACATCAATTTAACAAACTAGTTAGACAGAAATAGACCCAGTATTTAAAAAGGATAAAAGAACATTACAGCTCAGGAGGGGGAAATGTACTTGAACAGTTGGTTAAATTCTTGGTGAAAAGGATGATAATTACCATATTGGAATATCACACTGAATGTGTGAAATAGTACCATGAATGTACAATTATCATGTGTCAGTTAAAATATTTTAATAGTTGGGGTAGGGATATAGGTCAATTGGTCGAAGACTTGCTTATTTGAGGCTCTGGGTTTGATCCCCACACTGCAAAAAAATTTTTATTAAAAAAATTAAATTAAAAACTTAAAGCCTGGTGTGGTGATGCATGCCTATCATCCCAACACTTAGGGGGCTGAGGTGGAGGACAGCAGGACCATGAGTTCAAAGTCAGCCTGGGCTCTCTAAGGAGTTCTATGCCAGCCTGGACTACAGAATGAGACCCTTG